GGCCTATTTTAGGTAGGTATAGGCTAATAATTGAATTAATTAATTATTCATACATACACGCCATGTGACGTTATCTAATAAAAACGGGTATACACTGTTAACAATAAATATCTAAATGACACACCTCTTTATCAGTATTTTTTGCTCATCTGTCTAAATTTATGCTAATAGAAAAGAATTTTTTAGGTTTTATGTGTAATATTTGACGACGGCAATAGGAAGGTAATAAAGTTAGGATTTGTTTTCCAATTATTCATTATGTTGTTTTGCATCTTTGATTTTACTTTACGCCCATAATTTACATATTCTGTCATATTGACATTCGTGATACGACGCTTTTTTTGGACAATTTAGACTTAATTATACTGCGAATTATATATATATATAAATATTATATAGTCATGCGAGTTCTAACAAAACCTAACTCAAGTTCCCCGACCTTACGAGAGGTACAAAAAAAATGTACGATCCGGTATTTACTGGAACCTAATTTTAAAATATTTAAATCGATAAAAACGTTACAGTCTCCGATTGAAATACATTTTTATTTATTATTTCAGTTCTCTCGTTTAAATTGAATTATTATTATAAGTTTATACTCGAACACATACTTAATCACCGATTGATAATTGATTCAGTTATACATATAAAAAATGTACAACGGATGCTTGTGGAATCAACAAAGGATAAAAAATGTCATTGGTAGAGTTTTGGCTCTATTATATTTGTGTATCTAATAAGTTGGTTAGGTAATTAAATTTGGTATTCGGAATTCTAACGTTTTACCGTTCTGGTAGTTGGTTAATAACCGTAAGGTAATCGGCAAGAACTGGCAAATGATAATTGGATGTGCGTTTTCGGTGTAAACCAAAAATAAAACATTGTTACTTAGTATAACCTATTAAATAATAGAATCCCTTGTTGATTTCCTATTGGCAATTGTCAATTGTTTATATTAAATCGTAGACACCGTCTGAGAATTGTTTTTATAAAACAATTATTGTTTAATTTATTCAACAATGCCCATTTTTGTTTACTTATTTTAATTTTACTCTTTACTCGTCTGCGCCAGTTAAGTATTTTGTTGTTGTGTTTTTGTAAAATATTATGAAGTAAGCGAAACGGCTGTGTTCAACTCTGATATAACCTACCTCTTTGGCGACGTCTCTGGAGACCTTGCACAACAAAAACAACCGTACAACGCACTGCAAAGTGTCCAACAAGTCCGCCGAGGTAACGGTGAAAGGATCGGCGGATCGAAGCGTGCGGTGAATCTTAAACACGGTCGTTATGGCAGCCATGGCTATTACGGCCATTGCCTGAGCTCCGAAGGCTCGAGTCGATTTCCTTAGCCGATCGTTCAGCGTTTTCCTTTCCACTCTGATCGACAGCAATTCTGCAAACGTTTCATCGGTTTCGTCAGTCAGTTTCCTGCGGACTCGTCACTTATAATACACATTATCATTCATTTTTACCGACCAAAAAAGCATTTCTGGTGGGTCAGGAAAGGCGAGGACGGGCCAAATGCTGCGGGATCGAGGGAGAGACGCTTTTTGAGTTGAAATGACGAAAGACTCTGCGGGCAAGGGTTCGAGTGTTTGATTTATTTCACTTGTCAAACGTTTGAAAAGAATGTACTATTTTAATCTGAAATAATTGTTGCATTCAATCGTGTTATGGGCAAAAATGAAATGTTTGCAATAAAAAACGGACATTGTACAATGTCGTTATAGGAAAAAATGAGTTTAGCCGCAAAAAAATTAATTGACGACATCGCTTTTGTTAAATAATATTATTTACTTTCTATGTATCTTTCTTTCTATCTACTTAAAGAGTGACATTTTTCATTTGCGTAAATAACCAACGATGATTATTATTGTCAAATAAATGAAATAATAATTGTTTAATAGTATAAATCCCTAGACGGTTGTGTGCGATATAATGTAAACAATTTACAATTGGCATTAAGGAAATCAACACGGGATTTTGTTGTTTAATTGGTTAAACTAACAACGTTTTATTTCTGGTTTATGCCGAAAACGACAGTGTAAACGTACCAGTTTTTTCCTGTTAATTAACATTTATTAACTAACTACTGCAACAGTAATACGTTCTGTGTTAAAATCATATAATTTTTTTATTTAAACAAAGTAATAATTATTCTATATAGTCAGCGCGTTTGAGGACTATTTAATTTGTAACGATTGTTTTATATAATATGTTAATATATATTTATATAATAATAATAGTCGATTTCAATAAAACATCGGATTTTTGTTTGAATAAAAACGCGACAAATAGTATTATTAAATTACAACCGAAAACCATAACTAATCTATTGTTTTTAATTGACCCACTCAAATATTTTTCATATATTTTTATATTCTATACATATTTAGGGTTACCCTAACCGCGGTTTTACAATACATGAGGTGAATTTCTGTGATCACTTGTTGGTAATAGTATAATATTATTAGTTGTTGTTTTATGCGAAAACGACATAAAAAATAATAAAGTAAATATTTTTTCAATCTTTGCTGTATTTTTTTTTTATGATATCTATATCGAATTACAAAAACATTTGACCCTGCGTTTCCTCGTGTATTTCCTAATGTAGCAAAATGTGTACTCTGTGGTTACCTTGTTACAATTTTTTTTTTTTCAAATAACTGTTGCTCAATAACGTCCTCGCTTAGCTTAAGCTTTCAGTACGTACATTATCATTTAACACTGTACATACCGTCGTGCCCGTTCATTAACCATTTTGAATTAGCTGAATTTTTATTGTTCAGCGTTTAAGGCTTGTCTTTAATTGTTATACAAAATAAGTGTCTTTTGTTTCTCGACAATTATTATTGTTTCAAACGTGCTCACCTAAAGTGGAACGACATCTGTCTGCGATCCGTCTGTTAAGGGTTTGATATTTTTTTTTGTACTTGACATAGATTCGATTGTAGTGCAACTCGAAAATCAACGGTATTGCCACTAAAAATGTCTACAAAATTACACATTGTCATTATTCATTAACAAACTGAGATATAAATGTTGATATATTTAAAATCGGGTTTTGACAGCTAATCTCAAGTGCGATTAAGTGTTCTTCTCTGCATCTCCCTAGATGTTTGTATATTATATTTAATTTTACTTTACCCTCATAAGAGCTTCCGGTCGTTGAAGATTGCCGTTCGAGTAGAGTACGCAGTTGCTTCCTATCAAACAAGTCAACACCAAAGTCCAGCACACACTCTGCGTGATATCCATATCTCCTCTGACTGTATAATATACAACAAGGTTTTTTTTAAATAAAACAATTCAGTATGTATCCAGTGGAATATATGAGGTCACAGGTCTACAGGAACTATTATACTTGAAATTGATAAAATCCCTTTCAAATAGACTTTTCGATGTGAATGTTTTTAGATGATAATTAAATAACTGATATTGATAAAAGCCTTGTAATGACAATATTGTGTGCTTAAAGTTGTATTGATAGTGTTAGGATGGTTGCGATTGGGGTTGATCGTCCCATCGTTCTATAAGAATTGGTTGCCATTGTTTCCAATTTTATGTTATGGCTCCACTCCACATTTATCCGCAGTCTAATTTTCAGATCTTAAGCTCTAATAATGTAAGTTTAAAAATATTATGTTAAGGTTTTTGGCGTTTTTCTCGGTGTCGACAGGAAAGGGGTGTTTTGTTTTTTCCCAATTAAGTACCTTATAGGTACGATTTCTAGAATATAGATTTGCTACTTGTAGAAATCAGCCAGCGGCTTAGGAGATCAAGTGGGGGCTCAGACACAAAAATCCTGTCAAGTATACAAAATATTATCTCACCGTCGCCACAACAAGATGAGAACGTTGATCGCCCTAGCAAAGCGCTGCCGACAAGCACGGTCAGTGTTTGCAAGTACAGAGGTATTATTTGAAACGCCATTTCCTGACCAGACGAATGGTAGTCGGCCAAGTCTCTGACTATAAGAATCCACACAATTACAGTACACGTTCCGTTACATAACAATAAGTAGAATTTTCCCTGAAAAGTAGAGCGGGATAAAAAAAAAAATGTCAAAATATGTTGTTAAACAATCTTATTAAATTTATAAATATTATAGTTGAAAATTGACGGTTTTCATCTGCTCAAATAACAAACGACGAAGACTAATGTACATTAATATAATATTGTCAAATAAAATAATGACATTTTATTGTTCGTTTAAATAAATCCTCAAACGGTCGTCTACGATTTAATATGGTTTATTTACAACATTGACGCTATAAAATCGACACAGGATTTTATCATTCAATTTGTTAAATTAACAATGTTTTAATTCTGGTTTAGCCTGAAAACGGCAGAAATGAGATATTATTTTGTTGATTTTTAGTAGATTTAGTTCGTTGTTTGTTTTAAATAAAATGATTTATGCCAAAACTGACAGTTTAAACGCACGGCAAATTACCGTTTACCATCTTTTTCTAGGTTAGTTAACGTTTATTTAATAATTACCGAATTCGCTTTAGGTAAATAATATTATACCGAATTACCGTTATCCAACTTTGCTACAACGGTAACACGTTGGAATATATTATTATAATTTTATAACCTGACTAACCCTAATAGATCCAAAAATAAAATAAAATACTCGACCAATTTATACCTAACATGATTATAGCAAAATAATAATATACTTAAAAATATTCCTGAACAAATAACCGGTCTTATTAAAACTAATAATATACCATATTATAGTTAAGAAATACTTTTGAGTGCGATTTCCGGTCTTCGGGTTTGGACGGTGTCGAACAACAAAACATTGTGCACAATATTTATTGCTCCTGTCGGGAAGCCACACGGTATACTCGGGTGTATATTAAGTTGCATAGCTGCAAGGCAAATGAAATCGCTTTTTACAATAACTTACTATTATATTATTTGATTTTTTTTTTTTTTTTAACATTGTTTATTCGTTTTGTTTTCTTAAAACAGAATTACTCGTCCACTTAAGTGCTACTACGATTGACGAAAATTTGTTTTTTTTTGTTTTTTTTTTACTAAAACAACTAGGTCGATTTTTGATTGACTGTTTTCCAATCCACTTAAAACGGCATTGCGTGTAATTGCTGATATAGTCTATTCGTCGAACGTGTCGGCCGTGGGTCTTTCGTGAATCGAATACTGTTCTTCGATAACGGTCATACAGGATTGCACGATGATGGCCAAGTATCCGCCGACGGCCACCAGAGTCTGTAAAAACCCAAAAAAAAGGGAGGGTTCAACGTGTGTATTGCTGTATAGAGACGGTTTCGGTTAACCTTAAGTTTTACAGGGTGGCAGACGACAGGGGAAATTAATTTGTCAATGTTGGAAAGGAGATTAAAAAAAAAATTTTAACATTTAGTGGAGCGAATAGAAAGAATCTCGAAGGAGGGGCTTAATCCCCTTGTTAAAATTTCGATATATGATATGTGCATAATATATAAAAAGGTATCTGGAAAATTTCAGAAAAACCTCTGAATTAAAAATAATTTCAGAAAAATTGCAAAAAGTAAGATACGATCTATTTTGTTAGGATTGTAGATAATAGATATAGTATAATATTATACATCATTCATTGTATAATAATATATGTATTTCATCGGATTTATAATAAATGTTTTTTGGAAATAGATGTATGATATTTTATTTTATTATGTATAATATTATTTTTCGTTAATATCAATTCATCAATGAACGGTTGGCAGACCTGGAATGCCACTGAAGTGATAATACAATAATAATTAACACGGTAGCAGTGTGGAATAGCGCCTTGACACTACACAGTAGTGTGTGTACTTACTGATAAAAAATACTTGTCGTCCAAATCGCTGAATCCGCACAGCGAAAAGCTAATTTTTTTACTGTTTATCCTTTCCAAGAAACGTTTTATCTACAACAAAATATCGTTATTTATTTTTTTGCCGTGGCCATGAATATACTGTCGTCAAATTGCGTGGGACACATTCCTTAGATATATAGAATACTGAATGCACAGTGAAAATTCAAAAATGTTATAACAAAAAAATCCGGGCAACAGTTATTATATTTCTGTTATTCGCATAAATAGTGCTCTAGTTTTTTTTTTGTTCACCTACTGCAAGATGTGTTTATTATTTTACGCAACTAGTAGTACTAGTAGTACTGGTTTACTAACTTCGCATTTCTCTTGTTTCGTAAGACGTTTGTGGATCACTGCGTTCAGAAGTGATTTCGTCCGATTGGCCTGTGAACACGATGGTCGCGATTATTGTTTTCATTAGGTGGTAATCTCGTCGGTATTCTAAGTATAAACGTATTTGTTGTCTCACATACTTCGGCGGTGGCTATGGACGCGATTTTACACACTATGAACACTCGCATAAGATACTGGGTGGGCCACAGGATCAGCGACACGTGCGGTGTGATCCTGAAGTTGGAAAACGCCAACGTAATGGCGAACACAAACATGTGAGGCAACATGCTCAGTAGACTAATGACGATGCTCAGATAATTCAGCACCTGCAGTCATGTGCAGTAATAATTATTGTACATTATTCCATTATCACTAGTGGATTTCAATATTCCTGATTGTTACCTCCATCCCCACGGGTTAGGTTAAGATTGACCCCCGAGTCTCTCTTAATCCTCTCGCTAAGAATTACCTGATAAACGTTGTTGACGTGGTCGAGGATGGAACACAAATCCGCGTGGGCACTATTCAACCGTTGCAAGAACATGACTATGTTGGCCGGCGACGTGCAAGGATCAGGCAGAAGAAACAATCCTAAAGGTTTGGTCCCCACTACTGAAAAAAAAAAATTCAGCAACTCGTTCACAATTGAGAAACGAGTGACAAACATGTTTATAGTTGAAAATTAATTGTCTTTGTTAACTCGAAGATACTGCGAATGTCTCGACGCTCTTAGCGTTTTGTTTCTCATTATCCGAGTTTTACCTTGGTTTCTTCTTATTTGAACCCTGACCAACGACAGGTTTAGACATTTGAAACATTTTGCCATCGTCGAACTAATACACCAAAATTGAATGCACAACGAAAAAGCTTCCATTTTCTTGAGAACGTTGTCCTGAAAAAAAAAGACGTTGTGGTATCGATTTTTAAATGGCACATATAAAAAAATTCCCATCGGTACTTACCACCATTATGAAGAGTCTCCAAGCAAAAGACAGTCTCATACGGTTAAAACTCGACATGGCCGACACCACTGACATAAGAGTGTTCATTAATATCAACAATGTCGATTCCATATTAACTACTTTAACGATGGTGTTCATTTTGGCTTCGGTCCCTAAGGTTATAGTACAATATCAATAGTTTAGCGGTTTGTATTTCACATTAAACAAACCGGAGCATGTCTCATAAATGACAATAATAATTATGGGCAGTGAAGTGCTGAACTACCTCTAAACTGACCTAATCTTGTACCCAGTCTTGACCACGCAATAGATTCTAAGACAAGGCAATTTAAGTGGCTAGTATAAAAGGTTAAGAAAAAATTCTGTGGCCAATTATCCAAGTTATTTTGGTTTTAGGATTTGGGAATTCATTGGGGTAATTTGAAAACTTTAATTTAAATTATTGTTTCATATTCAAAGTTGTAAAGACTTTAATTATAACAATCGACAACAAGACAAATGTCCTAACATAACCAGCTCCAATTGAACCCCAACCTAACCAATAGCAACAAATTAACTCTGGCCTGAAGCCGCCATTTCAACTTACCTATTGTAGCGCCGTGACGTTTAAAAAAGTAATTGAAACGATCAAATACTCTCCTCAGCTCCAGCAAATGAATCGGCATCGATATGAACGTTATAATGATGAACAATTGATTTATCGACAACGAGTTGATGAACATCGGTCCGACTATGATTTGTATACGGTCGTGCACAGTTAGCTAGAACACACGGTATACTGTAATAGAGTTGTCAAAATCATACTTATCCAAGTAATAACATTGTACACATTGACAAGCCTAGTTTGAAATAAACATCAAGTTTTAACGCCTACAAAGTACTTTGATTATTATTGGCGAGAAACGTTTCTACAATAATATTATACTTATCAGTTACAATTTTTTTTGTTTTTCATTGTTATAATATTTTATCCCCCGGCGCTCAACAGACAATAAAATAACATTATACACAGGTTATTATTTAACGGAATATTAATTAGATATAGTTTGTATAATGATATGGTGTACTACAGTTGTTTACTGAATAATATTGACATATTTTAGTTACGTTGCTCGAAGACATGTTGCCTTGGAATTTGGTTATTTCTCTTAAACTGTTGGTGGTCTTGCCCGATACCACGAGTAAAACGAAGAAGCTGATCGAAGACAGTATACCCGGTATGCACCACGAGCTCTTGTTTTTCTGTGGAAAAAAATTACCCCCCAAAAAAAAAATCACCCCAGTCGGATTAAGACCAAAGTTTTTGTAGGTTTTTTTAAGAGTTTCTTTTTTTACCTCTAACCTAACCGGACTTACCTTTTCCACGTCGTTTTTGGGTATTCGTATTGGCATCCATCCAAATATAATCGAGTAATAATAAGGAACTGAGAAAATGTTGAACATCGGATGCGTCTTGGCTTTCATCATGTTTGCAGTTTTAGAATACAGTAAACGGTCGAGGTCGTCTGTACATGTAACTTTAGGAATACCCTGGACGAGTAGTGTTGCAATAAAAGCCAAAACCTTAAGGTATATGCTATTTACCCGTTCAATCGAATCGATGTCTAAAATAATACAAAAACCAATCGACGGAGTGCGCCGTTTTTTTAGTTTTTTGATATTTTCTCGTACAATAATAAATATAATTAAAAAATAATATATATTGTTTTTATTGTTTAAGTAAATAAATAACACGTTACATTGTTGTCTAATTGTTATTTGCGAACGTTTTAAGCTCGATTAGTTTTCACTAGTCGGACTAACATAAATATTTGCATACTTAATGAAATCCTTTGCTTTTCTTAGTAGTTTATTGTTAGCCTCTCGAATCCAGCATGTTTTTACAACCTTAGAATCAATCTAAAATAAATATTAAATGCTACGCCTAAGTAACGATTTCCTGCGAAGAAATCCGATGAAAACTATAACAGGGATCGTTAACACACACTTAGTTTGAAAAATAAAATAACCCGGTTAGATAATATGATTCAAGTGTAGTTGTACTGCAACACCAGCACCAAATATGAAATGACCCCTACAAATGTCTGGAAATAATGACGGTTCCAGTTAGGTATATTTTGTAAATTTCCATTTTTAACCATACAATTACACGGTATGCGTTTACCGTAGACAAAAGAGACTTGTCCACCGTCATCATGCCGCAAACGTCGAATTTGACTTTGGTGTAGGCCAAACGCCTCAAAAATCGTTTCATCTGAAACACAATACGTTCTTAATCACTAGCGCGTGCAAACGACCTAAACACCGGCCGTGTGTCCATGCACATATTAAGTACCTCTAAATTGGTATCGCTATGCTTGGTGACCAAAGCCTCTTCGGCCGCCAATGCCAAATCGTGCACCCGCTCGTCCTGAAAGTTGTAAACAAACTACAAATACATTACTCCGCACAACTTTCTACCAATTTCCTTCAAATTTCTTAAATTCTCTCTTGTTCGTCCTGCCATTGGTGCAATTGCCATTGTTACAAGGCCTGCTGCGCTTAAGCATTACAAACCCTACCTCTAACCTATGCATTTTTGTACCTGCTTAACGACCGCCGAGGCCGCGTAGCACACCAGAGTTATCCTGGAAATGCAGTGTATAACCGACAACATCAAGATGACCACCAGTAGCCGCGACCCATTCTGTTGTTTATAAGCCGACAACAAGTTGAACAGACCGCAGACCGTGTTGAACATGTAACACAACATGTTGACCAGTATGCGCTCTTCGTATAGCCCGTTGACGGTCTTTGCGGTTTCCGTTAACGTCCGGTAGCACAAATGGGCCTGGTGTATTTCTCCTGGGTTGGTTAAAAAAACAAGAAATACTCTATCATACATATTTGTATATCACTTAGAGCAGGAAATCAATTTATCAATGGACCAATGAACAGGGTATAAACAGAAAAAAAAGCCTAAAAGGTAGTAAGGCCTCTAGGGAAAAACTTGGAAAAATATACTGAAAAGAGCTTAACAGTTTTTTTTTTGTTTATCTTAGAAAAACAGAGCTACGGCATTTGTAAATTAAATATTTAAATAATAATCCACAATTTTTAGCTGTAATCAAAGGCTTTGGTAGACGTCGATTAATTAACGTATTCGTACAATTGAATTCAACAAAAACTGTTGAAAAATAAATTTCCAAATGGAAATTTGCCACATTTGTTAACGATTACTTTTTAACTAAAATAATCTACAACATGTTTAACATATAATTAATTAAATATTAATTAATAAAAATTACATAACTACTAAATTTACTGTTCATTATTCATCAATAAACAATAGAAAATTATCGAGAGTATATTGATTAAATTATACAATTGTAAAACGTGCTGGAACAAATTATTGATTAAATAAACACCGATTAAAAATAATGAATACTAATTGTACTGATAAATCGTCGATCGCCGTGTAATTTGCTTTTTAATCAATAATCTTTAATTTGATTAATCTAAAAAGGTACAATAGTTAATCGCGAGCATTGTAATCATCATTCAACGATTCAACATTAATCGTTAATCAGAATACATGTTTGCCGACGCCTGCATTTTGTATTGTCCGGTGTATTTTCTATATAAATGAAAATGTTGAAAACTCTAGTTTATGAGAACATACTATTGATTAAATAAAAAACGATAAAAAGAAAAGCAATCTTGATTGATTTAAAATTGGTGTAATAAGTGTAATAATAATTAATCGTTTTTAAGTAAAATCGAGTAATTAATCAAGAGCAATGAAACAGTTAACCGATTTTTAGAAAATAAAGTTACCTAAAACATGTATTAACGTTACGCCTGTGATTAATCGTTTTATTCTATTGATCGTTAATGAGAATACATTTTCGCCTAGTTGGCACACATCATATTTTTGTACATACTATTACACTAGTCATAGCTCTTTTGCGAAGGTCCTAGGGGGGCGTTGCTAGTCCGTTATAAAAAATCTCACCTTCCACGTTTTTCTTGGGCAGAGTCTCTTTGCCCCATGCGAAATTACGAAGTGAATGGTCGGAAATCGCTATAAGCGAATCGTTTAAACATTCAAACCCGTTTCGGAGGCTGTAGCAAAACCACGAGAATTGCAGATCGACCGTTAGCGTTCCCAATTTGCAAATGTCCTTAACAAAAAAAAAAAAAAAACTGCGGTGATTAATTTTTTCAAGGTGGAGAGGTGGGCCAGCCAATACGGTAATCAATATTAGTAAAATAATAAAAAATGTATTGAAACATTTTTTTATAATAAATTACCGATCACGTTGCGTTCTAAATTTGTTATTTGTACCAACTATTATATTTTGATAAAAAAAAAATAGACAGGACAGGTCACAGGTTTTCAGGAATTGTCATAACGCTTAGTTGTCACTTTGCCCTAACTTTGCATTAAACGCTTCCTGCGCGAATCTATAGACGGTAGAAGTATAACTCGTTTACAAATTCGAACGAGGAATTCACATCTTCGAAATTAAAACAAGTTTATTTTATATTATTATTGTTATTGTGATTGAAATTTGAAAAGTTTAATCGAAAATGCGCGCGTTCGCAGTGAAATCAAATCAAATCACTTTTTGGAACGCATAAATCAACTGTTAATAGGTTGGGTTGGGTCGCGGGACAGACTACTGATATTGAGTACATTTTAGGAAAATTAATCATTTATTACAGTCGTTGTAATCGATATTTTCACTTGAAAAAAAATTGCGAGACTGATGTTTTATTGCCTTGTGCTTTTCGTTTTGATGTACACTTCCATTTGGTTAATAAAATCGTACAAATGACGTTTGTTTTCAAAAACAAGTTCTCTTGATCATGAACACCTTATTTCCTGCCTGCGTTTGTTTTATAATTTTTCAATGATTTAATGCCTTCTTGTCTTTGACTCCTTCTGTCACACACATCCTTTTTCCGCCTTGTCCAAACCTAAACCGACCACCCACTTACCGTTTGCTCCTTTACTCCCTGATTTGTTACCTGAAAAAGTAAGTTGTACGACGCTTTGTGATCGGCTTTTCTCAATAATAACCCAAGCAACGTCGGCGTTAAGTTTCCCAACAGCAATATGACGATGACGATAACGAACTTCAAAGTTCTCCACGCTGATCCTGCATATGGGCGGTCAATTTAAAAAAGCAAATAGCATCTTCGGTTGATTTTCTTTTTACCTTTGGGCGATTCGCATATTGTGTTCAATTGTATGGGAATCGTTTTCCTATTGACGAGAGGCATGAGACAACTGACGAGGGATATCGTGTTAAACGTCCAAAAGTCCAGCCGGGCGATTTTCTCAAAGGCCACATCCCGTTCGGCGTTCTAAAAATAAAAACCAAAAGAAGACAGTGGAATCGAAGAGGTCGCAGGTTTTTCGGGAAGCATTTGAACTGAACGACAGCATAAATATTATTACATATAAAAAAAAAAATGTCTACAAATTTGGAACTAAATCTGGCTGAAAGATATGTATACATTTTTTTAAATGTTTTTCTGGATTTTTAAGAGAGAAGGGGTGAACTTTACCCAATATAGATTTGGGTATGATTTCTGGCCGTCCCAGTCACAAAAACATTCATCATCGTAAAAACAATACTTTCTCAGCTATACGTATCGAAACTTAAAAATGTCGACCTTTGAATATTTTTTGTTGAAAAATTGTTTACTCTTGCACGTTATTTTACCTCAATCGGATCTTCGGTCCAAGTTTTCATCGTGTAATTTACTTGGTTCGCGACAACGGCCAGACACCATGTCAACGAAACGGCGTACGTTCTAACCTGCGCACGTTTTACACGATACAATAATATTGTATTAATTATTATTATTACTATGTTGAACGGGAAATGTCTAATAACATTGTACGAGCACATTGCAACAACAAAAACAAACACACACTCGTGCAAAAGCTTATCTCCGCGCGAACACACTGCATGCGCACACCTTTGGCATAAGCGTTGATTTTTTTTGAAACATCATACAGATAAGCAGCGACATAAACCCGTTCTTGTGTTTAGCACCGCTTATCTGTATATTCAAAAATCAATGGCATGAGGCATATTATTGTTTAGCAAGCGTTGTGCAATCTATTCGGGTTTTTTACGAGTCCGTTATTATTGTTGTTGAAATATGTTTTTTTTTTTTAATTAATCGACACATGCGCATGGCATGACATAATGGTTTGTTTTTTTAATGTCGTGTAATCAACGATTACTATTGAATAGTTAATTAATTGTTAATCAGAATACATTTTGGCCGACATATCCTCTATAAATGTATAACTCTATAAATGTAATTTATCTGTCATGATAATTAATCGTCACTCTTAATTGACTGCACATCAGCGATCACCTGGCACAAACACTTTGCCCCCATCGTGATCAAACATTTATTCAATTCTACATCACTGAAATTTCAAACCTAATTGAATTCAAACCCAACCTGTTTATTGTATTGTATACTTCTGTGTTTGTAATGTAAATATTTATTACTTATCGTGTAATTAACCTTTAATGTTACCCAATAGCCACGAATGCTGTGGGTATAATTAATAATAATAATAATTAAAAAATTAATCCTCGTTCAATTTGTTTCGCATCATTTAAATAAACAACTGAAAAATACGCGTTGACTATTTTTTTTTATTAACAACACCAAATAACAAGAAAGTTTATCGGGTCGTTCCGTTTTTAATCAACAAGGTAACCTTAACTCTTATCCGGCATTGATTAATATGAGTCACTCGTGCGTTTATCACAATATTTAGCTTTTAACTATCGACCAAAAACTATATTCGATGTACAAACTCTCACAATTAACGTTAAATGGATTTGTATTCACCTTGTGTGGATTGGGTTGTCCGACTGTTATCCAAGTGCCGAACACTGACGACGCGTAGTGTATGTATTTGAAGATCCAACCACCATTGAGGTGGATATTCGCAGTCGACGGCATAGAAACAAATGACGCCAAAATCGACCCTAAATGTATGTACTCACCATGTTTGCACGTGCTTAAGTGGTACAAAAAAAAAAACCTTCATGGCAGTATTATTTTAACAGCCCTTCGCATCAGAATTGTTAAACAAGCAAAGAAAAAAAAACACACACCGGTATTATTATTTGGAGTATTAGGTATTATTATGCGGTGTTGAGAAGGTATTGTTTTTACCATGATGTGTTTTTATATTTTTGTGTCTGGACTTGCTTCTAAACCGCTGAGCCGATTTTTTTCGTGAAACAAGTCTATATATCAGAAATCGTACCCGAAAGGTACCATATAGGACAAACGTTTCAAAAGTCCTCCACCCCAAAACCCCAAAAAAAGTTTACATATCTTTCTACTTTGTGTATTACTTTTTAAATATAGTCGAATCTGAGGCAGACACAAAGGTGGGCTATTTTAGGTAATAATATTTTACGGGTTTGTCAATTAATATCACCTTAAATCTTGGTTTCGATCTAAAGCTACGAGCACCAGCTATATTATTTAGTTATTCCCAACGTTGCAAATATATGACACCACATACCAGTCACCACACTGTTGGTGCTGAAAAAATATTCTCGTTATTAAAACGCTCAAAATATTCCTGTAAGTACTGATGAAGCGATTAACATGTATTATAGAACATTTAAGAATATGAAGATTTATCTTGGTCCGAGTAATTTAACTATTATACTATGTATTTTTTTCAGAATATTATAATTGTACGACATTATACCTATTTTGTGCATTAAAAGTGTATTTTTATGTTATTTTTTTATTATAATATAGTAGATAAGTATTTATTATTTACTATACAAACTTTAACTCAATGTCTATTGTTTCTATCTATTTGAAGTGATATTTTTTTCTAGCCCCCGCATTCATTCCTAGATACGCCCCTTATTAATTCTAAATGTGTATGGAATATTTATCTATAATTATAGTTTTGAACACATTTTTGCCTTTACAAATTACAATAGTTTTTCGATATTTCTACCATCTACACATCAAAGCGCTTAGTGACCTCCCCATAACCTCCCCGACGATGTAATCCGTCCTCACTTTGCTGGCTTTTAATTTTATAATACCTTTTAAATTTATTTTAAATATTCATCCGTCAATCATTTTTTTTTTTACTGCAGATCGAGACCTGGACATTGGTCATCGGCCGGGCAACGTGGTCAAAGACAAGTCATTGAATTTTGTCACTTGGGAACCTTATTTTTGTGTCCTGCTGCAAGACGAACAAACGCTGACCGCCTACAGGAGCGAAGAGTTATCTGTAAATATATATATTTTTTTCCATTATCATCTATTTTACTATTATCATCCAATTTCTTGATAAACAAGTGGTCTGGGTCAATCGTTGGAGGAAAAAATTAACATTTTTACATGCATAATAATAACGGTAAACACACGCAAACTTTGTATAAACTGTCATATATTCTAATACAGTAATTCGACATTTTTTTTTTATTGTCTAAGTGAATTGTTTCGTTTATAGCGAAATATAGGTAATTGAAAAAAATTGACAAAAAAATAGTTTTCAACCAATTTCGAACATGTCAAATAACTTTTATTAGCTCTAGGCGAGTTAAGGCTTAAACAACTTGGTTATTAGCCATGTGTACAAGTATTTGAGTATTATCTTAATTCCTATATATGTATTACTTACGTGCATTGTTATGTATTACAACTATGTTAACCTTTGTTTTCTCAAAGTCGAACTTAAGCGACTCGTGGGCCACTTGTGAACTAAAGAGCTACTATTATACGTATGCGTTATTTTAATGGAACCCCTTTCGTGTTAATCTCTTTCTAAACTAACTATACGGCATAACGACAGTGCATATACTGTACTAATTTGTCAAATTTTATTTCATAGATATTTCCCGGGACCGCGCTAAGGACAATAACGCACGCTTTTAAGGTTGGTGCTTGTTTTACGGAAATATTATAAAATGTATACTATATTATTATTATTTAATCGTCTGTGTGTACACTACAGTGCGACTAGTTTGAAAGGATATCATTTCTCAAGATGGAACAATTTAAGAGTCCGTTATTATTTCTTTTATCGCACATTAACTTGGGGGAAAAGTATCACATTTTCATGTTTTTAATTTCTAATTATTGTTATTAATTTTTTAAATAAAATAAAATATCAACAACTTATCCCCGACTAGCTGTACTGTAGTATCAGTTTTCCTGTATTGTGTTGGTGTAAATAATAATAATTAATAACTCATTTGTATTATATCTGTCATGATTTACCCCCCTGCTTTTGTCTTACAGCATGTGTCCTGTCTTGTAACGTTTTTCGCTTGTCGCATGTGCATTTATACATAATATACGTTTCTATGTAAACCATGTCTTACGTATGGTTTATAGTTACACTGTTAAAACTGTTATTATTAAGTGTTATCATCAAAAAAAAAAAAAAATAGTACTCCATTGAGCTACACATTTGTTTTTTTTTTTTACTTGATAATTGGCGAAATCGACCCGAAAGAGGTTGAAAGTTTTTTGTTCATTAGGCACAATTTTAGGTCTTAAGAATTGAAAATTAGACTGAAGGTAGGTCTAACCTTATCCGTAACATAAAAAAATCCAGTACAGTCCATACCAGCATAGTGAGAAATTACCAGAATGTTGTTTAATAGGATCTTCACGACTACCTTTATTTTTATTTGTTATTTTTTGACTATGTGTTTGAATCTAGAGTGTACATAAAAAATAATCTATACTTATTTTTTTTGTATCGAGATAAAAACCAAAAAAAACACCATATAAGTTTAGTAGTTTTAATCAAAATTTTATATTTTTAACCATATTTAGATTCGCAAAGATGCTATTTGGTTAGATTAGCTTATTTTTAAGAGTGATTTTATTCTGACCCGGTTAAAATAATTTCTAAATTCAACTGGATTTTTTAAATTAATAATATTTTTTGTTATAGTAATTTTTACACTTGCACGGTTTTCAACAATTCTGTATGAATTAGTTTATACTATTTTAATCTTTTTCATGACTAATGACGGGTTACGCAAACATAATAAAAGATACATTTAATGGTCATACAAACTTAATGGACGTGCATGCATCCCACCGTAGAATGTCGGGCTAAAGAGTTTTTGTTTTTTTTTTTGTTTAGTAGTACTTAATTTTATCGACAAAACAGATTTAATATTATTATTTTGCTCTAGATTTAGACCGTGTAAAGGACTTCTTTCAGTGATATGGTTTTTATGTGTGATGTGTTTTTTTATTAGTATTCTTAGAAGTTATATAATCGTTTATAACTGCTATAGGGCATGTGCGATGGACGTGCTATACGAGTATTTTCAGCAATCTTAATAGTTTAATGACTCGAGTCCAAAATATACAATTATATATATAGATATATGTAAAAAAAAAGGATGATCTGGTATTGAAAATTCGCAAACCAGTGCTGTCAGTCTAATATAAGGCAGACGCGTATGGTTATTTTTGTTTTTTATTATCATACTAAGATAATAATATTGCCATGCTTTTATACACCCAATTGTTTTTTATAATAATACTGTACAATTAAAACCTAATTGTATTAACTAATGATAATTTAATCTTTTACGTTTTATATAATCTCGAGAGAAAAAAATGTTCAAAATATTTTATAACTATGCAGTGGCCATAAATAGAAAGTGCTTTTCCACTTGATAAATAATAATTGTGTCAAATAAAAAATACAAAGCTATATAATATAATTAGAAACTATTTAAAATGATGTTCTTAGGTACACATCATTGTGTTATTTTCTAATTAACCGCGCAAAATGGCTGATTTATGCGGTTTTGCTTTTTTTTTATTAGCTCATGGTTATCGCAATATTAAGTAATAGTGCACTTTGTTAGTTGTTTTAAATATCGTGTATTAATTAGTTTTGACATTACTTTCAGACTATCAAAACTTTGAACTTATTTAGTTGTATTATTGATAAATAATATGATAAAATGCAGAATGCTCGTTAATGACATTGCAATAAATTTAATCCACGGGTCTTCTTATTACGATTCACTTTAATTCCGAATCACCCATTGTATCTACATAATATATTATATCTACATATATATTATGCTATTTAATAATAATAGACACAAACAATTGTAATCTTACGTTTATTTTGTTGTACACTGATAACACGCATTACAAAGTAAATTTTCAGTATTTTAATAACTTTTTATTACAATATGATTTTCCTATCAAATCGATGATTGCTTAAGAATTTATTGTTTAATGCTATCGACTTTTTGATTGTCAGGTAGCAAAGTAAATATTTAATTCGCCCGTTTACTAATTTATTAAAAACAAATTAACGGAAGTGTCGAATGTATAATACATGTATAATGTTATTTTATTGTAACATATATACCATTTATTTAAGAGGTTCGGTATAGGTGTTTATTTTTGCTAAATCTCAAGCTAAAGTCCAAACCAAATGTTTTTTGTGAAAGATCTTGGTTTTAAAGTTTAAATTAAGTAGAAAACGAATTCTTAAAACAAATAGAAATTCAGCGATTGATTTATAAAAAAAACATTAAAGAATATGGTGGTTTTTATATTGGGTATTACGTTAACTGCTAATAATTAAAATCTTTCGATTAAAACTGAAAAATGTCAATTATTTAATTTCCATTTATATTTGTTTACAATTCCCCATCTGGAGAAAGGAGGGGGCAGTCATTTTTGTATTTCAAATTAGAACAAAAATTGCATTTTAGCTCAATATATTTTTAACATACAAACATGCCCCCCAAACACAGCTCTAGTTATCATTATTATTTTTCAAAAAACAAAAAATAGCTAAATTTTCAGTTGGCAAATTTCTTGTAACTAATTAGCAGTATTGTTCGACTACGACTCTCAATGTTATAAGTCGTGTATTCTTGGAGAAATCCAATGAAAATACAAATGGTTGTTCTTAAGGTTGCCTGCTTCAACTCGGCACAGGTTATTTTTGTTATAACAAGTTCTGAGCAAGGATTGGAATTTGTCATGTTATGAAATATATATATTTAAGTTCCTACGCAATAAATAAGTACTATAATTGATTAATGTTAATTATTATGATATTACGTTCAAGATATGTTTTAATCAATAAAAAAATGTATAACTATTAAAACGGTTATAAAAAGAAACATTTGTTTTATGTTATGCTGAGCATTTTTGGGCCGAATATATTTCAGGAGGAAAAATATGTGAAATTTGTTTAAGTTTGTGATAAAAAAAAAATCGATGTTACTTAGATTAGCGGTAACGATTTAACTTTGACTTCAGGTTCCTAGGATCAAGTTTCATGTGGTTGCCTTCTGATAAATGCATCCCTTTTACATGTACACTGGCAGTATAATAAATTAGTTAAATACCGAACACGATCACAAACGTTTTCAATTAATAATTGGACTGGCCAAATTTGGAGGGGGGAGGGTGGAGTGTATACAGTATAATCGGTTTTTTATAATTTCCTATGGTTTAGCATAAAATCACACATGGGTCGTGATAATGCAAATTATATCCACAAGTGAGTAGTAAAAACGTGCTATTTTTAACCCTAATTATTATATCATTATAATATAAATATAGTATGTACCATTCAATATTTGTTGATTAGCAGTGGAGATTGCGGCGAGTGAATTCCTAGAGACTGTCTAAAGGTTATTGTATAATTAATACAATTTTTGTTTATCATTTGCACGTTGTTTTCATTGTGTTATAAGTGTGTAAAATACTTATAAAAAGCAATCAGTCGATTAATACTCTTCCATTGCACCGGTTCAACTCAAACCCCGAACTGAGTTCAAGCCTCGAAGCGGTTCAATATAGTGTTGGCTCGTTTGTTTATAAGGTACGTTCGTTAATTAATTAGTCATACATTGTTTTGATAATTTAAATTATTAAGTAAATATTTAAGTATTGCGGTTGAAACTGAAATTTATCTAGTCTCGGGTACGCACTAGGGTTGGGACAAAAATAAATGTATTTTTCCAATGCAAATAACACAATAAGTACCTAATCCTCTACTAACTCTTCAAATTTGTCTCATTCAAAGATATATTTATAACTTTCCCCCTAATGATTTTTTTTAAATAAAAAAGTACAATAAAATAGCACATAAAGACAACGGTTTCTAATGGTTTTTATTTTAGTTCTCAAAAATCAAAATAATTTACTCCCCCGAATGATATAGATTCTAACCGACACAATAACCAACTTATTTTTTACGTCCCAAAAATGTTTTTTTTCTATTTTTTAATCTCGTAAAAACAATACGGATGATGAGAAATATGTTTTACTGATATTATCAATTCTATAGTTAGGATTATTGTCAACTACCCACTGATTCTTGGACTCCATCCAATCACGCTAAGCAATAACTGTTCTATTTCTCCAAAAATTCCGATTTTGACAAATAAATTTAATGTACATATATAATAACTACCGATCACGTTTTAATTGTAACTTAAATATTATGATTCCCGCTAGATAATAAACGTTTCATAAGTATCTGAATCTGATAATGTAATATCGGAACTAACGACTAAAAGAACAATAAAAGTTAAGATGATGTAAAAACAGTACAAACAACATGAATTATAGGGTTTCTAAAATTGCAAACGCCGGATAAAATAATAGACATTGTTTGACCTTCCATTTGATACGGACATCACACTGTGTACAATAATAATAATTATTATCGGTAACAGGTAGAAGAGGAACATTGGCTATTTCCTATGGGATTATACTTTTGTAGCTGATAGGTTATCGGTTCGCAAATAGAACTTTAATTTTTCGTTGGTCATTTTATTACTAGAAATTCATTTTTTCACACACAACGCGTATTATCGGAAATATTCGTAGCGTCATAGGCTTTTTTTTTTAATAGATAATATGTTAATTATTATGTATTGGTCGAATTACACATAACGCGTAGGTAAACCTATTGTATGACGAAACCGACAAATTAATAATTCATACATTGATTATAGATTATGTTGAACAAATTAAATCGTCGTTACTATTAACAAGATTAGAGTATAAATAACGTAAGCAAAAGCGGGAGACAATGCTTTAGTTAGAATTTAGTAATAATGATTATTAGTATAATTTGTTTTTTTTTTGTTAGTTTTTGACTTATTTGTTTTTAATGTGTTGTATAGTATTAAAATAAATAATCTGAAAATGCACGGAGTCACCGTCTTAAGTCTGTTGGTGGTCCTGTGTGCGGTCGTTCACGCGATCAATGAAGATATTATGCAACCGACCAATGTGTTATTGAGTCCAGAACCTTTGGTAAATCAATAATTACCTAATATCTGGTGTAAACGTGTTTTTTATAAACAGTGTCATATTTTATTTACAGCTAAAGTCACACTGGCGAAGATCGTTAGGCGCAATGTCTTTTGGTATTAACCAGGTAAGGCCAGATTGAGTAAAACTTTGCCCTAACAGCACAGGATGTCCAGGGGCACAGGTATTTCTTAGAAGTACTGGATTATACAGATATAAAACAATCGTACAAATTGAAATCCGTGTGAATACCAAAGGAGTAGATTTTTAATGAGTTACACTTACGTAAAGACATCTGACAGGAGTACAATTTGGAATTCATAAACTCTACTACAAGGCAACCACGTTAATACAATACGGTTCTTATTATATTTTCAAACGGGATTATGTAGATCCTATTCAATGCTCGAAAGACCAAATAGATCATCTGATTATGGAGTTTCTGTAGTGATCCTAAATTGTAATTGCTGACGTTCCTAATCGGAGCTCCTCGGGTAGGTTACTCGGAATGCAGTAGGAGAGTACGATAACCTCAATAGTGACTTCATGGAAATGCCCTTGGATTCCCTGTGCTGTAGTGTGCTTTGATCGATGGACTTGTCAGCTTGATCATTTTTGGATGTATGCATTTTGTTATTTGTTAGCTGACATTTCGAACCAATTGCAGGGTCTATCACTAAAGCGAAAGTCCCCTTCAACTTTTGTGACTATGTTTAGTATAGTATAGCGATAGTAAAACTGTGACTGTTGCTCTAAAGATGGACCCTGCAATGGATCCGAAACGTCAGCTAACCAATGACAATATGGATAGCTCCGAAAAAGATCAAGCTAAAAGTTCATTCCACGAAAGTTTGAACGCATTCATATGATTGACTTGAGTGTGGCTATTAAATCACTTACTCGTTTCTATTGCGTAGAGCCCGATCGAGCCGTGGAACGAAGGAATACAGGCTCACGTGCCCGATTCCCACGTGGACGCGTACCGGCATCCTCTGTGGGGATTTAGGCAGCCAAATCTTAAATCGTTCCAGAGCAACTTCAATGAAAATCCCGGAGCTTTTGACACCGGGGTGTATGCCACGGACGCGTCTCATCGGTTGACACCGGAAAACAACCTGAGCAAACTTCTAGCTGCTCGCATGGCATCCATTCGGGAAACCCAGTATAAACGTTTGTTAGAGCAGCAACAGCAACAGGACCAGCAACAGCTGACACCACCCCAAAACAATGTTGCCGTACAAGTGGTGGGCGACGTCAACGTGTTCCACTACTATCCAATGCTGACCCGAACTCCAGACACTCTCAATTCCACCATCGTTTACAAATTGAACATACCCATGATCGTAGTCCATGAACCACAAATCAAAGTGTCCGAGGATAAGGCTAATGGCAGCGTGGGGGAAACCAAAGTCGGCGAGCATGACACCAAAGTCAGTGAAAACGAGACCACAGCAGTCATTGGCCAAGAGTCTGAAGTCGGCGATAATGTTACTAGAGTCAGCGACGATGACACAACAGTTACCGAGAACGACACAACAGTTACCGAGAACGACCCGACTGTGAGCGAGAACGATACAACAGTAAGCGAGAACGATGTTGAAGTTGTGACAACCGAGCAGTCGATAGAAAACATTACTGAGACTGAGTTACCGTTTTTAAGTTCAACCGAAATTTTTTCGGATTCTCCACTAATGGATTCACCTTTCGAAACGTATGGCGGCAACTTTAACGCATTTTGATCCAAGAACTATATTACTCTGATGTTCAACGTTAAATTAGGTTTAAGTTAAAAAAAAAAAAATATTTGATTTGTGGAGTAGAACAATATGTAAACAAAATTGTTCAAGTATTATTTAAAATTATATATATATATAAAATTTAATAATATATTTTTATTATGTAACTATCATTTTCAAAAATTTAATTAAAACTGTAATTTTTCTAGTAAAAACTGTTTTTTAACTCTTTTTTTTTTTCTCTCTCAAAAAATACACAAATTGTTCTAAAATGCCAGATTCCAAAGACCTGTCAATAAAAACACTTATCAAGCCTATTTGGACTTACCCGAATATGGTAAATAGTACGCTGGTGCTAACCATTCAAACGTGTATGCAATTATATTTTATGTAAATATTAGTATGAAGCTTATGCTAAAAGTGATGTAAAAATAACGCCATTCAATCGTTGTAAACAGGTTTACTAAATTATACTATTGAACATTTGTATTTATTGTAATTTGTAAACAACTGGCAAGACCAAGATTTGTTTACATCTACAGTTTGTGTAATCATATAAACTTTTTTTTAAATTTAATTTATGATGGTTTTGGAGTATCATTTTTCACGTGTATATAGTATACAGTATTTATATTTATTAATTGTTAAATCTATAACCGTTTTTGAAAATAAACACCAAAAATGTGTAATACTCAAACACTCGTTACAGCGTTGGAATAGAAAGTTGAATTTTTGAGAATCTTAAGTCAATCTTTTCTCTAAAAAGGCTTTTTAGGCTGAATGGTGCAAAAATACCTAAATAACTCATTCTAAAATAGAAAAAATGATATAATGTCGATTTAGTTACCTAATCGCCTGCCCCTTAATAAATTATATATTTTATAGAGTATTAATTTAAAAAAATATTGAATATTATAGAACACTTGATTACTATATTCAGCATTAAAAATGTACTATAGATGAAACTACGGGTCAAGTTGAGTAGGCTTAGGTCTCATCTACTGCTTGAGTTTACACGCACTTAATACACCTAAGAGCTACCAAAAATAAAAAATCGTCAATGACGTCCACAGTCTCCTAAGTGACGATATTAGTTATAAGAGTACTTATTGGGCGACAACTATTATATACTTTAACATAACCCAATATTGTAAGGCTATTGTAAGGTTTTTTTTTTGAAGCCACTGAAAAAAACTTATACCTATTCAAAAATCTAGTATCAGCTGATAGTACCTTTCAGACAATTCTTATTTCACTGTACTGCACGATTTTGGAACAAGAACCAAAATATATATGTATTACATTTTTATTTGTGTCACGGATAGATGCACTTTTGTTAACATGCTTATGCAAGCTTTTTGCTTTCGATTATACAACGAACTTGACTAAGTATACCTATGCTTTGTTAGTTACCCTAAGTTTACCTACATAAATATTGGTGCAAACGTGTTTTAATTTGTCGTGTGTTTGTTTTACCATGTGAAGATTGGCGATTCTTTGTTTGTGGATTTGCCACGGGTCAGATTGGACGGAGGAGCAAAGAAATTCCGACAACGATGGGGCTATGAACTGATCAATCAACATCCAGTTTTGTTGGAGGAAGACGAAGGCGAAGAAGAAGACGACGTGACCGATAGCGTGTCGTTGCAAGAGACCCCTAGTTCCAGACAAATATGTGCACTATCTCCCTTAGGTAAGTCTCACATAATTTATTACACTGGTTTGATAGGGAATTTTTGGAAATCCGTCGGTTAATATATTTTTTTTTTTTTAACTTGATTGAGTTGGTATTTTTAAATGCCAATTTAAATTATCAATTACTTTCATGTATAATAAGGTAAACATAACACAGACATATTATTAATACTATTCCACAAAATTGTGTAGGTATTTTTTTTTTTTTTTACAAAATTATAATTTAAAAAATGCGTTTATTATTGGTAAATACCAGAACTGCAGAATAGAATACTTGGCAAAATAATCAATTAAATTTATGTTGACAAATTAAAAAAGAAATTAACAAACGTACTATCTTTTACACAGTAAATTGTTTTAACAAACAAAAATTAATAATAATACACAATGACTTCGCTGTTTTTGCAGTGATTCCAACTTCTCATGGTCGATATTTGTAATAAATTTGAGTTAGACAAAATATATGGCTTTTACATAGAACATGTAACTACGTATATAGTATAAATATTAACAAAAAGTAATTTAATAAAAAACAATGACATGTCGTTTTTGAAATAACCGATTCATCTGGTGGATTAATCATTCCGAAGCTCAAAATATGATTTTATAATACACAACAGTATAATAATTTGCATACGGCATACAACTAGCTTTACGTGATTGATTCGAATTACATTTGAAATGAATATCTTATTGGATTTAACGATACAAGTGTACTAAACATAATCTGTATGAGATGATCGCATTTATTACACACATGCTGAACCAATTGGCGTGATGGCTGTTTAATAAGCTTGACAACGTTGGCGTTTTAACAAACGGGGTGCGTTGTCTAGTTGAGGTTTAAAAATAGCATTATAGTGCACACATAATGTTGACAAATGTCTCTGCGTGTCGATCGTCGGTTGGATCTTAAACAGCTGGATGATACGTTTCTATTTTCCAGACGAAAATCTATCTACTAATCTACTAATGATCACGATAAAGCCAGCGATTTTAATTTTTCGTTTTTATTTCATCTCAATCCATAGTTATTAAAGTTTCAAATTTAGGACGGGAGGAATTATAATTATCCGAAACAGGTTATTGACCACTAAAAATGTTCGGTAAATTTGTCTCAACTTGAGAATTCAATTTGAGTTTTAAAAGTGGATAGATATCTGAAAAAAGATAACATTCTGAATAGTGTTGTAAAATAACATAAATTAAAGTGTCTCCAAACAGAAAAACTGCAAAATTGTCATTATTTTAAGAAAAAATTATTGTAGCATTAATTGATCACTCTGTATGCGAATTTCCACGAGAAAAAATATATTTAAAACGAAATTATAAGCATCGCCAGATCGAATAATTGCATAATAAATGAATATGTTCCCTGGAAGCATTGTTTATCGGCTCAGTCGGGTATAACTGAATACAATTGTTGTGAAAAAATACTTGTTGAAAAATGAATGATTCATTAATCATTCATTTGTATAATAATAATTATAATTATTATTCGTGCGCCAAAAAATAAAAACAACAATTATTATCTTCTCGGTTTACGTTTTTTTTTTCAATAATTAAACTGGCCAACAATGAGTAATAGGAAATATTTAGAGGGTCCTGACGGGCATAATGAAATATGTTTGCCGTTTACTTAAATAAAATGCACTGTGGTTGAGTGATAATGCTGTGAATTGTGTACCACACACAGATGATGTACCACCGGTGTAATTTTTCATTATTAAAAACACCTACATACGTTGAACTCGAATAATAATTATATTCCCAAAAACGTCGACTTCATAAGTGGTTGAGAGTAGTTTAAATGCTTAATTTTAGGGTACAGTTGTACGAATTTAAATATTTATTGCCAAACGAGTAGTTATAATTATAATAATTGCCTGCAAAAACGTTTATTGCATAATTTTGCCGCTTTACATTTTACATATTTTCACTCATTTTCCATTTAGCGTTTTAATTAATATTGCTCAATTGTATTTTATGGCTTAATTTTTTATTCTGTTCGCGCGGTAACTTTTAAAACGCTAAAGTGTTTTTTTATGATCAGCATTGTTATCTATCCTGAACAGAGTTGGAAAAAGCACTCCTCTATTAGGTTTTTAGGGTATACATAAACCCAATACAGTATTAACCCACGTTTTTGGTTTGATGACATACTTTGTGTTGGATTTCCATTGATAAAAATCCTACTCGAACATAATGGAAATAGGCATACCTACATACAATATTTATGTAATATCAATGGGAATGGCCGATGGACAACATTGGTAAGTGACTAAAGTTATAGCGTCAGGATGTCGTAGGCACTCAGCCACCCATACATTATTATCTTCAAATCACAAAATATGGTATAACTTGCTTGTAACTTAGTAACTATACGTCATAGCTTACACATCGGGCAATGACACCGAGGTAGCCGGTAGGAGAAATTTTTTTTTTTGAGGGGGGGGGGAAGCTCAATTTTTAAACTAACGTTTTTGGCATTTTTTTTTCTGTGCCCTTAATTTTGACCAGCTAATTGATATTAGAACGGCGGCGGACAAACCGAGGCGAACGTTTCGCAGAATAGGTAAATACCGTTGACGGCGATAATCGTATATTATAATTTATAATGTATTATTATCTGTTTACCTCGGATAGTCTTCTAGTCTCGTCGTCATCGGATTTTTTTTTCGTCATTCGCGTTGTAATTTATTATTATTATTATTATTATTAGTTTTTATTGCTATGGAGACACACGGCGGCGATGGCGCGGCGGCAAGGCAAACGTTCGTTCGGGTTGTACGGCACAGACGGTAGACACCAGTCAGTGTATGTGCGGCGACCGGTGCGTCAAGAGGTTGACTGTTCCCGCGTTATCTTGCCGCTAACCGCACCGCCATGTTCGTTTGCGACGTCGCAGCCGCCCCCGGTAGTTTTTCATTATAAACATTTTTTTTGTTCTTCTATGGTACGTTTTAAAAAACAAAAAAATTTAAACTTGTTTTTTTTTTTTTAAATATTCAATAACAATATTATCATGATGTCGGTCATGAACGATTTGCCGGACGCACAACCGCCCGTGAGTCCGGCTCACAGCACGGGCACCATAACCCGGAGGTTCAGCAAAGGATTTCACTCGTGTCTGAAAGGCACCCGGGACGATTTCGACGTGTACGTCGATCGAGGTACGATTGTCGTTTTTGTTTTGCTTTATTATGATACAATTAATGATAGTTTAACGACGCTGCACATTCTGATTGAAACGAGGACTTTGAGAAAGCCGGTAAGACTACCGTGGGCCGGTTTGAGCCTTGTTGGGGCATCGAGGCATTTTTGGATTCGCCGAGGAAATAAAATATACAATTTGTTGACACGGTTAAGTGTTGTTCACTTCAGGGGTGTAATCCAGTCACATTTCGTCACTTTTAGTCACTAATTTGATAATTAATCACTGTTGTCACTTTTTTTGTTTCATATTGGAACATTTTTTTTTCAAATATATTACATATTAATTATTAGGCTCAGTACAATATAAGAAAACGATATTGGCATTCAATTTCTCATATTCAACCTATATAATATAGGTTTAATTACCTATAATATTGTTTACTATATTGTACCTATGTAATTATTCTTAATTATTATATTTAATTTTTTTATTATTAGTTGGGTAACTATAACGAATGTATGAGTAGTATTCTATAGAAATCTTACTTTTTAAAATGTATTTTATATACCTACTACTGAATGGTTATCTCCGACAACTCTGGTATCTTACGACCTTAGAAAACGACTAGATTCGATTATAGATTTTTTACATTTTTCTTGTCGACGTATGGCTCAACTGATGAAAAATGTCATTATCATGTAAACAAGCTTTATTCTACGTCGGGGTTTCTTAGAAATATAAATGACTACAGAATATTTTAATCCGAAACGTCCGCCCTCTTTTATTAAAAAAAAAAACATATATATATAATATTCTCTAATCTGAAATCTCTCATGTGTTACTGTAATAATTTCTTTTAATGGCCGTACAATATGCCACAGGCCGAACCTCTTCCGGTCCCTTAACAAGTCAATCTTTGTACACTTTACTGTTAACCGTTTCTTTGCTGACAACTGCTCGGAACCAGCTTAGTAGAGATATATTATAAGTATATTTTTATTTATTGGTTCCGTTATTTAATAATAAATTACAATTTATTACCATTACCTCGCTTTCGAGTAAAAATAGCATACTGTTAATGTTTAAATGACATTTTTATGAATTGTTTTTTTTTTTTTAATGTTACCATTAATGTAAAACAATTTATGTACTTAGGAAGTTATTGAAACATACGTGTTATTAATTATTAATCGTTGTGAAAATACTTCTCATTATTTTCTGTATCAATTACAAATTTTAAGTATTTGATTCTGCTAACCTGGATCACTAAAGGTGTTCTTTTGCGTTTTTAACAATATAGCTAACAACGGTTTGGTGCTTGCGTTTTGTGTTGTGATTTTTTAGGTTAACCGTCACAATTAGAGCGGCGCCAGGAATAAAATAATTATATATTATATTGTTATCATCATCTCATAAGAGAAAGAAAAAAAACGCGAAGGCGTGAATACGGGTTATTAGAGAGTAAAGACTCTAAACGCAGAAAACGTCCTGTAACTTTCAAATTTATTATTTTTTTTTTTAACAGACCATTGACATTTTACAGTAATATCACAAAAAAAATTAGCGATTGTTGGACGACGAAAATTGTATGATAGTAGGGCGCCGGCCATTGTTTTAGGACTTTGAAAAAAAATAGATACAGATTCTACTTTGGCAATAGAATGTAGTTTTATAATTCTTTTCATTTTGATTTATAGTACTGTTATACACTTTATTTTAATTTATGATACAGTTATTTAACGTATAAAGGAAAAAACATAACTTATCTATTTCTAATACGGATTACAATTTTTTTTTAATTTGAATTTCAAAACCGTTTTGGATTACGTTTTCGTTATTTT